TTTTGGTTTCATCCACATATGCTTGTGAATCTTTGTTCTCAGTGATGAATTTTGTTAAGTCTCGTAATAGGAGTAGCCTGACGGATGAAAGTAGTAGCTCGTGCATATCTCTGAAGGTCACGAAATATAAACCTGATGTAAAATCTCTGTCATCAGTGATGCAGCAGCAAAAGTCCCACTGATAATATCAAACGGAGTCATAAAGTTTTCTGTCGGACTATCAGTGTACATGTATACATTAAAAAATAAATGTATTTTTCATCATCATATACTGTGTTTTTGTCGCTCGAATGAATTTTATTATTTCTTCAAGGTTCTTCACATACGTACACCTTAAGAGATATCAAGTAGGCGTAACATGTTCTCAAAAAATTAGGGTTGGCACGCAGAAGAATTTTGAGTCAGAGATTTTGCTGGTTTTGGCAAGCACTCACAAAAAGGTTGCCCACCCCTGCTCTAGTCTTATAATAATCATGTATTTTACAATTATCAGAACCCAGAACGTCTGACTCTTAAACCCAGTTAGTGCCTGTATTAACAAATTACAGTCCCTCTATACTTTCCCCTTTCTTGAATTTTCTCCTTAGACTTGTTTGAAGTCCTCTTCCCTGTCTCATTTTTCCTTCTCTTCCCTTTAGTCTATGCTCCTCATACTCTCCCAGAACCTCTCCAATTAATCTCTTTGCCTACATATATTTCCTCTCATTTTATATCATGTTATTCCAATAATAGCTAGAATAATCCAGGACACAGCATTTATTTCCTGGTTTTAAGTATAAGTGAAGGAGGGGGGAAAGTCCTGTCCTCAGACAGTGGACCAGATAACCTCAAAAGCTTTGTCAACCTCCAATTTTTCATGAGTATTGGAAATTAACTAGGATTCAGAAAAAATGCATTAACTGGAACAAATAAAATAAAAAACGCTCTCCTTAAATCTGGGAGTTTTGATAAAGACAAAATAAGAGGTCTTGTGTAGCACAGAGATTAACTGAATACTTATATGTGCCAGCACTGTACACAATCATTTATACCGATCTTATTTCCCCCTCCTGACAGATCTATAAAGTAGGCATTATATGTCCCCTGGTTTGCAAAGGATTACACAGCTAGTGAGTGGTGAAAGGGGAATTGAAACCCAGTGATTCTGATTTCTAGGTCCAGGCTCTAAAATTCTACAGAACTGACTCCCTCTAATATCACCACCTACCCAACTTGTTTCACATTATGAGCCCAAGATTCTCTGCTTTAGGCCATACTGAGCTTTACAAATAATAGGCACTCAATATTGTAATTGAATTGTTAAAAACTTGGAATTAGGAAAGCCCTCAAAAGGTTCCTTGAGATAGGCCTTTGCCTGGATCATTCCAAATTAGCTTCTCTAGAAAGAATCTTTGTAATTACTAAGGGCCCTTGTTCCTGTAGGTCACAAGCATTAATATTTTTAAGTTATTAATGCAAGAACATTAACTGATACTGAAGCTATGCTATCCACGTGGAAACTCTAAATTAAAAGCACTTTACAAAGAGCTATGAACTTTCTAGATATTTTATTGTGGGCTTGGCAACACACACACACACACACACACACACAGGATTGCAACACAGATAAACAGACTGCATAGTTCATTGCTGCTGTTATTTATAAGAAATATGTTATTAAGTATTGCATCTGCTATATCACAAAATACTGATAGCTGCAACTATATGTAAAGAGGGTTTTGTTGGTGGTGTTTTATTGCAAGTTATAGTTCACTTTAGTT